TATATATATATATGAGTGACATGGAAAAGAAAGGATTATGAACATGTTTTAAAACCAAAGTAATGCAGTGGTTTCACAACTCAGTAAATAAATCACTCAAATATACACTTAGAATGGGTAGATTACATGATATGTAAATTATACCCTAGTAAGAATTGCAAAGCTATAGGAAATACAACTGTTGTTCTCTGATTATGACTATCTAGAAAACCCAAAAGCACCCATAAATTAGTAAATTCAATAAAACTTTAGATTGTTAGATACAAACTCAGTATACAAAAATTAACCTTATTTCTATAAATCAGAATGTTCAGCTATTTTTTAAAAATATCATTTATAATAGGACTTTTTTTTTAAAAGTTGCTTTCCCAGAATGTGCGTGACGTATGATGTGCTAGAATGACTTCAGATATTTTGTGCTACGTTTTCCATGTCCTGCCCAGAGCTCGCTCTGCAGAACCAGCATCACGCAGAGGGCAGCCAGGCAGCTCCGGAGCGAGGGTGCCCAGGCTGGTCTGGTCTCTGTTCTTGCTGGCTGAAGCCCTGGCCCTGCTGGGCCCCAGAATCCTCAAGTGTAGAGGAAAGGGTCCACTTCATCTGCCCTGTCTTCACATGTGGTATATAATATTCCTGCAATGTAGTGTAAAGGTTAAAACTTAACCTTTCTTGAGTACGCATTTGGGGACATGTGGCACTTTCCCATTGCTGGCAATCACTGTCATCCACCTCCAGGACTTTCTCATCATCCCAAACTGAAGCCCTATGACCCTTGAACATCAGCCCCCAGTCTTCCCTCACCCTCGCCCTTGGTGATCGCCACTCTGTGTCTGTGAATCTGACTATTCAAGGAGCCGCAGGTAAGTGGAGTCATACAGCATTTGTCCTTTTTCGACATTTCACGTGGCATGATGTTTTCAGGTTCATTCATGTAGTGTATGACAGGATTTCATTCTTTGTAAGGCTGGGTAATTTTCCATTGTACAGAGGGACCATATTTTCTTTATCCATTCACCTGATGGTGTACATCTGGGTTGTTTCCAGATTTTGGCTATTATGAATAATGGTGACATGAACACGAGCGTACAAATGTCAGTTTGAGTCCCTGCTTTCTGTTCTTTGGAATGCATATGCCGAGGGTGGAAATGCTGGATAATACGGTAATTCTATATTTAATTTTTTGGGGAGGGGACTGAGGACTCAACCCAGCACCTCATGCATATTAGTCAAGTGCTCTGCTGCTGTGCTATAATCTCCAAACCCGATCTGAAGGTCTTAGAGTCTTAGGATCTATGACTGCTTTGAAATTATGCACCACATTTTGGAGGTCTGCACCTATGGGCATTTTCTGGGACCAAGGTCCACTCAGTGGGAAGTATCTGTGATTCCAGAAGAGCAACAATGCAGAA